AGAATAGAATAGAATAGAATAGAATAGAATAGAACAGAATTGAAGACTGTAGGAGAGCTCCCTTCAAGGCCAGTGAATAGGGACCAAGTAGCCAACACTTTCCCATCTGCTGAAACATCTCAGTATCTCTTGGAGTGGGAAACAGGAGCTTCGTGATTATGGAGAGTCTAATGACACACAGAGCAAGATAGAGGAGCTAGCATGGGTGTTTAGTAGGAAATGTTTGAGCTTTCAGACAGTAAAATGTGGACTAAGAGTATGGTAAGTGTTGGAGCCAAGTCATTTAGCCAATATAGCATCATGGGTGGGAGATGTAGCTCAGTTGGTAGAGTGCTTGCTAATATGCACCTGGGGTTTAATCCCCAGTACTACATAAACTGAGCATGGTGGCACACACCCATAGTTCCAACACTTGGGAGATTGAGACAAGAGCATATAAGGAGTTCAGGAATATCCATGGCTATGTTGTGAGTTTGAGGCCAGCCTGGGGTTTCTGTCTCAAATAAAACAGTCTAGCATCACGCTAGAAAAAACAGGTTCTTACTCACAGAACATTTTTAAAGTGACCTGGACACAAGCTAGGAGTCTGTATTTAACATAATCTCCAGCTATTCAGTGATGTGTTGAGTACGCAGCTGTTAGTACATTTTGGTTTTGCCCCGCAAAGGCAGAGGTTGTATGTGTCTTGCTTACTTTTTCATCCTTGATGATAGTTCAGTCATAACCCACGGTGCTGTTATCAGTTTGGAGTAAGCATTTATTTATTTCTTAAAGATTTATTTATTTTTATGCATATGGATGTTTTGGTTGCATGTCTGTCTGTGTACCACAAGTGTGTCTAGTGCCCACGGAGGCCAGAAGAAGGTGTCAGATTCCCTAAGACTGGAGTTACAGACAGTTGTGAGGTGCCATGTGAGTGTTGGGACTCAAACCTCGGTCCTTTGGGAGAGCAGCCAGGGCTCTTAACCACTGAGTCATTGCTCCAGTCCAAAAGATGCAAGGGAGGGGACCTGCTAACACCCCCAAAATGGACATGCCCACTTCTTCCCATATAAAAGTGACACCTTTCCCATGTCTCACATGTAGCCCTCCAGCTGACAGAGAAAGTTTGAAGGAAACATGAGAGTAAAGATAAATGGGAACAGACTCTGACTCTGCAGGTGTCAACTTCCGGTCTCACTTCTGCTGACTCACTCCCTGCCTCCCAGATCAGTGTCTTTGCTCAGGCTCAGAAGTTAGGCCAGGTGACAGGTGAGTGATGGATTCTCAAACCTTACCCAGGAATCTAGCTCAAAGGCATCCTGTCTGTCATCATGCCATCTCAGCGAAATGAGAGTCATCTATCTTTCTGGATATACCGGAGACTTCAAGTTCAAAGAATGAGGAACCTGAAGGCTCTGAAGCCTGGAGAAGCAAATATCCCAGATAATAAAATACCGGGAAGGGGAGGTTTCCAGAAATTCATGTGTTATGGTTTGAATTCACTGGGAGAAACCAAGACTTAGACTCAATTCAAATTTAGATTAGATGAATTCATTCTTACCACTGGCAGAAGGGTGACAGCCTTAGAGCCAATACAGCATGCCATGCGGGAGGGGGCTTAAGGTGGAGGTTTTAAGGCGGACATCAGAAAGATGCGCATTCCATGGAATCCACAGCTGGGCAGGAATATTGTTTTACTTCCTTTCCCACTATATATACTAATAAAAAGACCATTCCGTCCCTTTCCCATAGCAATAAGCAGGTTTTACAGAAGCAAAGGCAGCTGTTAATGCCTCCCAGCCCATTATGCTATTCTTATATCATCTGCAGGCCACTAGGATCTCCAGGCATTCCAGAGCAAGAGGTCAACAGCCCTTAAGGGATGCCTGGCTCGCTATTACGTCTCTTTAGTCATCACAGGGGACCTGTGTAAATTGTTACTCAGGTCTGAGCACTCTAGTGACTGGGATAGAGCAGTTCATTTCTGGGCAGGCAAAAACACAGTGCTATCAGGTTAGGGCTGGCTGTCACGTCCCCACATATGAATCCCCTGTAAACCCACTGAGGCCCCTGAGGGCTGGGGCTGGGAATCCAGGTTCAGTGCCTACCTCTGGGTCAGAAGCTCACTTCTCAGTGTGGCAGCTCAGTCCTGGGCCCCTTGTGTATGTCCCCAAAGATAGAAGAAGCGACTTTGGGGCTTCACTATCTGGGTCTGTCCCACAGGACCTGTAGCCACGTCCCTCCCTGCCTGCTCTTTACAGAACTGGCCACAGAGCCTCCTGACCTCAGTATGTGACTCCAAGCAGTCGTCTCCATAGAAACAGGACGGGCCTCTGAGCAAAATGACAAAGGCACACTCTGTGGGTGGGGCTAAGTTGTGTCTCTGGGCCTGGAGTCAAAATTGAAGTCACTGCCAAGAGGCCAGAGTGAGCCTGGGCAAATCCTATCAGTTCTGCTTCCTAATATTATCTAGACTCTGACCACGAGACTCAACTCTTTTGTCCTTGACTCCTGCACTCTTTTCCAAAGTGAACCCATCAAAACTCAGTTCAGGCAGTGGCAGTAGTGGTGAACACTTTTAATCCCAGCACTTGGGAAGCAGAGGAAGGCAGATCTCTGTGAGCCTGGTCTACAGAGTGAGTGCTAGGACAGCCAAGGCTATACACAGAAACTGTCTCAAAAGAAAAACAAGGCCGGGCGGTGGTGGCGCACGCCTTTAATCCCAGCACTCGGGAGGCAGAGCCAGGCGGATCTCTGTGAGTTCGAGGCCAGCCTGGACTACCAAGTGAGTTCCAGGAAAGGCGCAAAGCTACACAGAGAAACCCTGTCTCGAAAAACCAAAAAAAAAAAAAAAAAAAAAAAAAGAAAAACAAAACAACCCCCCCCAAAAAAAAAGAAAGAGAAAAAACAAACTCAATTCAGATCACGTCCCTCTTCAACCCCCAATCACGCTTTCAGAGCAAAAGCCAAATTCCCTGCGATTTCAACTACTCCAGTGTTCAACAGAAGCTGCCCATCTGAAGCTCTGACTTCATCATCTGTCCTGTTCATCTACATCAGAGAGTCCTTGACTTGCTGCGCAGACTCCCACCTCAGGGCCATTGTACAGACTGTTCCATTTCCCCAGAATCTTCTCCTCGTCCCTCCTCCTCCCCCAGACAACATGGCTAGCTCCATGACTTTGTTTTCAAGGCCTTAAATAAAAACTTCCCTTGTAGTGACACCTTCCCGGCTACCCCAGTGAGGACGTTAAAGTCATACACCTGGCTGACATTTCATATGCCTCTTTTTTCTGCTTTATTTCTTCTCCTGGCCACTTTCCAGGAACATACCCTCTACTTATGAAATTGCTGTCTTATTTATTTATTTATTTTTTGTCTTTCCCAGCATTCCTGTGTCTCTAGCACCAGGACAGTAGGTGGCTAGTAGATACTCAACAAACACGTGTTCAAAGAAAGAATAAATGAAAAGACCACTTAGACGCTTGAGCCTATAACACAGTAGCCCTGACTTGCTCCTAGGTGGGATGTGGGGTTCAGGCCTCCTTGCCCCAGCCATTGACATTTCTGTCACCCCAAATGGACCACGAACAGAGACATTCCCAGTACTCAGTTCCTATTCAAAATCAGCTGATTTTGAATACAGCAATCATTCAACAAATGGCCGCGCTTGCTACATATCAGCCTCTGTGCTCTATGTAGAGTTTTTATTTATTCATTGTGAGTTAGATACTGTGTATGTGTGTGGTACACATATGAACTGATGCACCACCACCCCCCAAGAGGTAATATCGGGATGTCTTTCTCAACCATCTATTTTCTATCTTCTTTTTTTTTTAATGCCGAATGCCATTTATTGAAGGAGGGAGGAGGTCTTGAATACAGGCTTACAGCACAATGGGAGAACCCCGGAGGGCAGAAGTTCTACCTTGTTTTTTGAGACAAGGCCTCTCACCATTTAGGCTAGTCTGGCTAGTCCGGAAAGCCCCCTAAATTCTACCTATCCCTACCTACCAGAGCTGGAGTTACAGGAAGCTGTCACACTCAGGGTTGGTTATGGATGCTGGGATCTGAATTCAGATCCTCAGGTTTGCACATCAAACACTCTCCCCACTGAGCGCCATCCCCCGGTCGCCACACTATCCTGTATTCACATGATTGTGTGAGCCTAGAGACCACATTGAACATTCAAGTGTCCATTTTCATTCTTTAAGATTCTTTCCCCTGTGCATGAAGGTGGGCTCTGCTGGCTGGCATGCTGGTACTTGGAATATCCTACCCTCCACTCAACAGATCACGCCAAGGCAAAAACTGGACCTGGTGGATTTGGTCTGTTCCTTTTTACTAGAAAGGCAGATCTAAATGCAGATAGGTGTTCTTGTCTATGGCTATACCAGCCTGAACTCGCCTGATCTCATCAGATATCCACAAGGTGGAATTGGAGCCCCAGTGTCTGGCCACAGGTACTCCAGGCCAATGGGTAAGAAATTCTGCAGTTGCTGTGGAGACCAGAAGCATCACTTCACAATGACAGAGAAAACCACATAGCTGTAGTTCACAGCAGCAGCCCTACCCCAGATCCTATCCCTTAAGGCCACCTGAATATCCAAGTCCCGGGTTTTATGTGGCCATCTCTTTTGTTTGTTTGTTTGTTTGTTTTTCGAGACAGGGTTTCTCTGTGTAGCTTTGCGCCTTTCCTGGAACTCACTCTGTAGACCAGGCTGGCCTTGAACTTACAGAGATCCGCCTGGCTCTGCCTCCCGAGTGCTGGGATTAAAGGTGTGCGCCACCACCACCACCCCGGTTGTGGCCATCTCTTATTCCTCCAATGAGATGTTCCATTCTAATTTTGATTCTCTTTTGCATGCTAGGGATCAATCCCAAACCTTGTACCTGCTACCAGCGTGTTTTACCACTGATCTACATCCCAGCCCTAAATGCTCTGTTTTGAATAAGATACGTCAAGTAGCTTTCAAATACTTCTAGCCAAGGGAGCTTGACTCAGAAGTGAGGTACTGACCGAAGACCACGCAGGCTGAGAAGCATGAAGCTGGGGCTCATTCATTCCTGTGGCTGCCATTTCATTGGGGCTTTTTTCTTCCAGGCAGGCAGGGATGTGCAGGGATCCACCACCAGACCCATCGCCTCACTTCCGCTTTTTCCACATAGGGCATTTTGCTACGGAAAATGAGGCCAGGCTAACATTCAGAGCAGCTGGGAAGTTGAGGCCGAGGGAGAAGCAGAGAGAGGTCAGCATTGCTCGGAGTGTCAGAATGAGGCATCGCCGGTGAGTACAATTTTTTTACTGAGTGTTAAGTTGTAGCGGGAGCAAATAGAGCCATCTCCATAGTGACAAGGCAGACAGGTAAAGGAGAGAGGCCAGTAGGGAGAGCGAATAGCTTAGTCTTTTAAAGGGGGCTTTAGCCACAAGATTTCCAGATCCGAACCGTGTCCCTCATCAAGGACACTGTGCCTCCCAGGCTTGGTCCAGCAATGCAATCCAGCCAGGGTGAGACCTGGAAAAGTGGGTCCAGGGTTTCTGTGGGCAGATCCATCCAAGGCAGCTGCTCCCTCGGAACTGCTTGCAGGCTGCAGTTCCTGGAGCTCTGTCTATTGACTCTGTTTATTTCTCTAATTTGTCAAGGGCTGTCTGCATACTCCAGCCTGCCTCCTAAGCGCTCAGCCTCTGTTTCACCTCACAGGCTTCACCGATTCGATTAGCGCACTTTATACTCCATCTTCGGAGTCACTAATGAAAATACTGTTGAATACTAAGTATAATTCAGGTCCCTGGGGCCTGACACCCCTTCATCCTCTAGCCTAGCTAACAATCTTCATTTCTGATCATCTTCACCTATTGTTCCAGGATTCTTCCCCCCCTTCTCTTCTCATTCACTCATTAATTCAATCATTCATTTGTTCACTTTTTGTTCACTTGCTAGGATGGAGACTTGGATCAGGACATCATGTGCAAGAAAAAAAAAAGGCTTAACTACTTACTGCAAGCTATTACTATGGTGAGGTGCCATGGGGCAGCAAAGAAGTACTGGGTGGACTCCGGCCCTCAGCAACAACAATGGAAGCCTAGCAGCTGCTGCTGACAGAGTGCTCTCCAGGTGCCTGGCTAATTTTGTACAGATAGTAAGAAGCCCGTATTGGACACGGCCCACACTACTGAGGCAGCTGTTGCTCAGGATTAAAACTACTGATTCTAGCCGGGCGGTGGTGGTGGTGGTGGTGGCGCACACCTTTGATCCCAGCACTTGGGAGGCAGAGGCAGGCAGATCTCAGTGAGTTGGAGGCCAACCTGGTCTATAAAGAGAGTTCCAGGACAGCCAGGACTGTTACACAGAGAAACCCTGTCTCAAAAAACCAGGAAAAAAAAAAAGACCCCTACTGATTCTCAAGTCAAAGCGCTCATCATTGGCTCTCTCACTGGCTTCTCTGCCTGGAGTGGCCCTTTGTAAAATGAGGATACTCTTTCCTCATAGGGCTGTTGTGGGGATTTAAATTATTCAATAAGATAATGGAGAAAAGATATTTGAAGTACTGCCCAGCATATAATATGCATTCGATAAATGATGGTGATTATTATTTAATGTAATACAACTGTCCCATGTCAGGTATTGCAGTCTGGGTTCTGCCAGCAAGAAGGCTGATTCTTAGGCTAACTTACCCAAAATTCTATGGATGATCATGAGATAATGAGACCACTCTAGCAACTCCAGACTGTTTGATTCCAAATTCCGTTTTGTTTTCTCGTTGCAACCTGGAGAGAAAGAAAACGGGCATTAATAATTATTTCACAAGCTGGAAAAGCAAAGGGGACAGCAAAGCACGGGACATTCTCACCACACAAAGTACCAGGTGGTGGTGATGATGAAGATGAGGAGGAGGAGGGGGACAGAACAGTCATGGTGATGATAATGGCGGCGGCGGCGGCGGCGGCAGTGGTGGCAATGATAACGATAAAAGCCTGCCATATTAAAGTTCATAAAAGCCTGTCATATTAAAGTTTAAAAGAAATGTTAAGATGCCAGAAGACAGAAAGGAGTTATTTATTATGTGCATAGGTAGGGGCTCACTCTCTGGCTCAGGCTGGAATTCTCCCACTTCCTTATCAGAAGTGCTGGGATTGTGGGTACGCGCCACCACACTGGACTAGAGAGGGTTCATTTCTGGGCAGAGGAATAGGTGGAGACCTTCATGGAGACAGTGGTATTTGAATAGACTTAAAGAATGGATAGGACTTAGACACAGCAAGGAAAGAGACACCCTATGGAGAGAAACTTCATGAGCAGAGGTATGCAGACAGGAATGCTTAGGGTGTGTTTAGAAATTTCATCTTGGCTCCAACATGGTAGGTGAAAGGAAATAGCCGGGACTGGGCTAGTGAAGAAGGAGTCATAGCTACATTAATAAATGAACCCTTGGAAAACACATTGGTCAAGGCATAGATATTTCTCAATACTCAGTCGAGGGAAAGGCCAGAGTTCTTATGCAATGGGTATTGAGGGTAGAGACTAAGCAAGACTGCCGTGTAGCCAACTCGCACGTATATAATTACAGATGGTTAAAAATACTAAAGTGTTTTGTTTGGTTTTTTTTCCAGGCTGGTAAATGGCACCTCCTTGAGTGACCCGAGACCTCCTGCTCTGACTACTGGACCTCCTTGACAGCCTGCCATGGAATGATTAATGCCAGGCACTATTCATGAAAAGTTATCTTTTGACTGGGGACTTGGGGGGTACTTTTGCTAGAATTTTACTCAAGATTGAAAAAAAGGATGGGGGGGGAGGGGCAGGTAGGGCGTTGCTGCTGGAGTATGGAAAAGCCAACAGAGTGACCAGTACACACCAGCCTTGGCTATTACTTGGTCGCGCTTCCTGCTGAGTCACCAGGGCTGCAGTCCACCGGGCCACGTGACTGACCTGTTGTGTGGGAGTCTGTCTCCTTCTTCCTGAGCCCATGGAGAAAGGGTCTGTATGGAGACTCGGGCATTGCCGTCACTTGAGGTACAGATCTGACTGTTCTTTGGAGTTCCTGGTTTTTCTGTGGCTCCTCGCATCTGAATGACCTGTTCCTGTCATTAGCTCGGCAACGCTGTAGAAGACACCAGAGTATAATCCCTCCGAGCTGCTGCTTGGCAGCTTTTGCTCAGGCATACCTCCAGGGACCTCGCCACTCCTCCCGGCACAGCAAGCACCCTTGGGCATGAGTTCAAACTAGGAGAGGATGCTTTGGGTCTGCTCTAGCCTCCACTGTGCATAACTTTCCCTATTCTAAGCAGCAGCCTTCATCATCCCTATGGTTAAGCTTGGTTTGCTCCCTCCCCCAACCCCGCCTCTCCACCTCCCCCAACCCCACCCCCATTACCTCCTCCAACCTACATTTTACAAAAAGAGAACCATAAGCAGGGAGGGAAGGGTCCCCAAGGCAGGCAGAGCAGTGTCTGATGAGAGTGGAGTCCACAGCCACTCTGCACTTGTGTGACTCTGGAGACCACAAACATGAGTGATGCTCCAGGATGAATGGTGCTCACGAACCCTTTGTGTGTGGGCCCTGTGTACCATCTAGTACTCTGCCCTTGAGGTCATGTAACAAGTAGATGCATGTAGGATCATGCGTGCATGCGTGCGTGTAGAAACAGATGCCTGAGCCGGGCGGTGGTGGCGCACGCCTTTAATCCCAGCACTCGGGAGGCAGAGGCAGGCGGATCTCTGTGAGTTCGAGGCCAGCCTGGTCTACAAAGCGAGTTCCAGGAAAGACGCAAAGCTACACAGAGAAACCCTGTCTCGAAAAACCAAACCAAACCAAACCAGGCAAAACAAAAAAACCAAACAGATTCCTGACGAGGGAAGGCAAGGCACACAGGAGGACACCCTGGAGGATGGAAGGCAAAGAGGAAATAGGCTTTCCTCCACCCTCCTGGCTGTGGGGGGATGCGACCAGGAGAAACAGAAAGGAAGAGGTGAGGCGTGAGGGCTGGAGAGAAGAGGAAGAAAGGCCCGTGGGGGAGACGGAGGGGAGGGGCTGGCTGGCGAGCTGGCAGATGGCTCCGAGGTGCACACCTCCCTCTGGACGGCTGTCAGATCCACGGTGACAGCTGCAGGCTAAGCCATAGATGACAACAGCAATTGGCTCGTGTCTGCAGCCTCCTTTGTTCATTTTTATCATTATTAGTTATTCTAACGGAGGGTCTCACGGATCCCAGCCTGGCCTCACACTCACTGTGTTGCCGAGACTGAGCTGTCGATCCTTCTGCCTTGGCCTCTGGAGTGCTGGGGTTACTGGGGTGGTCCACCACACCTAGTTTACATGGTGCTGGGGATCGAACCCAAGGCTTTGTCTTCTTGCGTGCTAGGCAAGCACTCTACCAGCCGGGCTACATTCCCAGTCCCACAGGCTTCTTACTGACCAATGTTTCCCAAAGGCTTGAGACACCAGTGGCCTCTCAACAAGGCTACTCAGATACTGGAATTTGGAAGGGGCCTGGGAAGCCAAGCTGGAGACCAAACACGCATGCCCCTGGCAGCAGGACTCGGGTATGACTGCAAGGCTGGTTCTCTGTCCAGTGACTGGACTGTCATAGGCTAAGGCTCAGGGAAGGAGCAGAATCAACCACAAGGCCCCAGGGGTGCCCAGTCAACACTGTGCCGTGTCCTTTAAACACTCCAGAGAAAACAGAGACAAAGGCCTTCCTTCCTCCTCCCTCACATTAGAAATTCCCCTGAGGTTCTCTCAGGAGCCATGTGTCTGTCTTTACCATCCTAGGCACTGGCCGGGAGTTCTTAAATGACTCCATAAACAGGAAAAAGGGAAGCAAGTTCAAAAAGATGTGTGACCTGCTGGGGGCTGGGGAAGGGCGGTGGGGATGGGGGGCGGTGCTGATTTATGACACTCTGTGAACAAAGCAGAGGAAACAGATTTTTCTGTGTTGCATTTGATGGACGTGGGAGCTTGGGCCAAAAGCCTGGCAGTGGAACCCAGAGGGAGACAGGGTGAGTGGGAAGGGAAGGGAGGAGGAGGAACTCGGAAAATCGGAGTCATCCTGACTTGTCTTCACTTCCCCTGCCTCTCCCTTCCGCTGGGAGCTCAGAGTCAGTGAGTCCTTTCCCCCTTGCATTTACATTCTCTCCATTTCCTGAAGCCCCACCACCCCGATTCCAAATCCTTCCTGCCTCTCCCCCGGACCGTGACTCAGGGGTAAGGTTAGGGTGGTCTCTGTAGCTTCAGTCTCTCCTTCTCCAGCTCATCTTTCTCAGCACTTGTAGTTTGGCCTCCAAGAATGTTCTCCACCTCATTCTCACACTGTGCCACTTTTTCACGACTCCCTGCTCGGCTCCACTTCTTACATTTGCTGTAATAAAAAGAGATGAGCGTTTAATAGCCAAGACCTCAGTGCCTCAGAGGAGCTGGTACTGGGGAGTAGATGAGTATTCTAGGAGGTCGTTCTACACTTTGTAAACCTTGTCTAGAATAGCACACAGGTTAGTTAGCATCACCCCTGTTCCTCAGGAGCATTTATCCCGCCCCACCCACCACTTCCCCTGCCACAACCCCCCAATTTCTCCAGACATTGTCAAATGTCTCCTGGGGGCCCAGACTGCCTCTGGTTAAGGTCCACTCACCTAGAGACAAATTGCTACTCTGTCATTTGCTGAGTTCCCTTAGGTACATGATATAAGTTCTCTGAACTTCAATTTCCTTAATATCAACACAGGGTTAAGAAACATCTACCTTAGGAGCCATTGTGGGAAGTGAATAAAAGAATTCCTAACCTGTGATAAATCATCAAACACAATACACACACACACATACACACACACACAAATCTGTGTTTCCTCAGTTTTGTTTACAGTGGCTCAGGCCCCGCCAGAGTCTATCTAGTACCTACAGGTTGAATGAGTGGATGAATCTCCAGCTCACTCCTGCTTCAACCGGAAAGCCCCATTCCTCTCTCTCCAAACCCTGCCCTCTCTGAGAATCTCCAGCATGGGAAAGTCACCAAAAAGCCCAGTTCCAAATTCTTGGCAGCTGTGGCAGCTCCTTCAAGTTGCCAGCAGCCCAAGACCCCGCCTAAAGCCCTCAGTTTTTGAGCAGACTTGGGCACAAACCCAGCTTGTGGAGGACACGTCATCACCCCTCACCTTCAGGATATATAAGCTCCCTGCTTTAGTTTGGGCGCATGACTTCTCCTGCCTTCATCTCTGGGGCTGGAGAACTTACCTGGGCGTTGCTTTGCTCAAATAAACCTGTTCTTTTACTTTTTCAGTTTGTCTTGATCTGGCTTACTTCGTCAGCAGAGAAATCTATTATCAGGGTACAAAAACCTGTTAGAATGAACAAATGGATAGAAGAAATAACCCAATACCAAACCCAGGAAAAAGAGAATATCATATCTTTGTTCATTTTTTTCCCCACACAGGGTCTCATTATATAGCCCTGGCTGGCCTTGAATTTGGAATCCTTCTACCTCAGACTCCTGAGTGCGGGGATCCCAGGCATGCAGCACCCACCACACCCAGAACAATACTTACTGCTCTTCTTGAGCTATTCTTTCGTCCAAAAGGCCTTGGTTATTGTCACTCTGTGCAGTACAAACCAGAGGCTCTGCCACAATGTCGCCCTACCCTGGAAGCATCCCCAACAGCAGCTATCTACCTGTTAGCATAAGAGATAAAATAATGGTGCATTTGAGAAGCTAGGGCTGGCTAAAGAGAAACAAAGACATCCAGCCAGAGGAAACTGGACAGTACTTGGCTTTTTTTTTTTTTTTTTTTAAATCAAGAACTCACTTCCCCTGGAATGACATGAATCTATTCTGGAGGCTGGGACACTCCCAGGCTTATCACCTGTCAACAGCTTGCCTCTTAATCACAAGGACAATAAAAGGTCAATGGCCACTTTGGAGAGGGACATTCAAACCATAGAGGGCTTCATGTAAGCTGCTGAATGTCATTGGGGGATGCTGCCCTGTCCATAGCAAGCAGAGTGGGGATGCTCAGAAAATATTTATCTAAAAGACACAGAAAGAGTAGCCACACTGAGCTTACTGCAGGCCTTAGGACCTCGGGATACATTTTGACACAGATACTCTACTTGCTTCTTTTTAGCTCTCCGGGTTCTATATTAGTTACTTTTTTTGTTGACCAGAAGCAACTGAAGGAAGAAAGAGTTTGTTTTGGCTTATAGTTCCAGAGGGATGAGTCCATCATGGGGGGCCTGGGGGAGGCAATGTGACAGGAGAGAGTAATGGGGTAAATCCACGGAGTCTATTTAATGATCCAAGGAATTTATTTGGGGGTGAACTCACAACCACGGGAGATTTATCGTAGAGTCCGGGAAAGCTGAGCTATGTCCCACACTGAACGGCTTGGCCCAAGATCTCAGCATCCAGAACCACAAGGTAGCCAAGCAGAAGGGGTGTACGTGTATCCCTGGTCTTAAGGGTCTGCCGTCATAGGCAGGTGTAACAGCTACAGCTGCCTCACTAGGGGTTGGTGCTTCAGGACTGGGCTCAAACAGCTACCCACTACATCTCCCCCTTCTGTCTAAATAAGAAAGTTCTAACCTGACACAAAACTATTGTAAGGATTCTGTCCTTAATTACGACATCAGCCTGGGGCAGCGTCTCAGCCTAAAAAGCGGGTGGGCCCTCTGTGCGTCCCTCTCTCTTTCCTTTCCGCTCCTTCCTTCCATCTGCTTTCTCTCTCTCTCTCTCTCTCTCTCTCTCTCTCTCTCTCTCTCTCTCTCTCTCTCTCCCTCTCTCTCCTCCCCTCTCTCCCAATAAAGCTCTAAAAAGGTAACCCTGGCTGTGATTCTTCCAATCAGCACGCTCCTCCGCCAGCATGGCCGCCAGCCACGAGCAGCACGCCGTTTAACCAACAACTATATACAACAGGAATGATTATCAAGGAGAAATAAAGGGTAATGACATAAACAAATGGAACTACAGCCAACAAGAACAACGTCAAACAAGAGACATGCACTAAAATCCAGAACATAAGTAAGTGGTATGTTAGAGAGATTATTCCAAAAGCTGTCCTATCCTGAAGAATCTGATTCTAGTACTTAGTTTGTTCTAGCTAAGATACGAGAAGATTGTAGCTGTAACTGTTAATTTTCAATCCCGTCAAAGACCTGAGGAGCAATATAATAATATCTGAGAAAACGGGAAATGCAGGCAAGCAATTTTGGGAAATCTTTCGAGGGAGTGATCTCTTACAGACTCGTTACAAACAAGCATCCTTTTCCTGAGATCATACACTTCTCTTCCCCAGCAGTCACTATGGAGTCTGCGAGGTCTGCCCATCTTTCGGAGTCTGGGCTTTTGTTTTCCTTCATGTCCGTTTCTTTCAGATGTTAGCCAGAGCCTAATTAGGCTTTCTCTGGTACTTTCGGGCTTTTTGCCCTTTCCCTGACACTACCTCCCATTTGCCATTTGGCTGTTTGCTGATCCTCCATACCCATCTCCAAAAGGTGCTGTGGGAAGTTCTGTATGGCAAATGTGTTGCTCTGATTGGTTGGTAAATAAAACACTGATTGGCCAGTAGTCAGGCAGGAGGAAGTATAGGTGGGACAAGGAGGAGAATAAAGCTGGGAAGTGGAAGGCTGAGTCAGAGAGACACTGCCAGCCGCCATGATGACAAACAGCATGTGAAGATGCTGGTAAGCCACGAGCCATGTGGCAAGGTATAGATTTATAGAAATGGATTAATTTAAGCTGTAAGAACAGTTAGCAAGAAGCCTGCCACGGCCATACAGTTTGTAAGCAATATAAGTCTCTGTGTTTACTTGGTCGGATCTGAGTGGCTGTGGGACTGGCAGGTGAGAGAGATTTGTCCTGACTGTGGGCCAGGCAGGAAAACTCTAGCTACAAAAAGGCATACTTTTCTCTTCCTTTTTTCTCATCTCCCTCCAGGCAGCTTCCAGGATTTATAGCTTACCTGCCCTGTGGTGTGGCCTTTTAAATTCTAATATAATTGTTCTCACGCTTTAAAAAATAAATAAGCTCTCCTCATACTATCAATCACTCAATTTAAACTGTCAGGACCTAGCTAATTATGGCAGAGTCTAGCCATAAATGTTGAACAGATGGATGAATGAATAAATGAATGGAGAGAAATACCCAGGCCTTCTAGGTTAGTTTGGTTTATTCAAGGAGGGAATGGGGCTTTCCAATTTAGAACTTATAACTGAAGTGAGGCAATTTCAGGACCCTTTGCAGAAGGCTCATCACAGGAATTGGAAAGGGACTGTTAGACACAAGCCCTTCTAACACAGACACATGTGAGGAGGGACCCCAAAACAGCTTGACCACACAGCTGCCATGATGGACTTAGAGGCCCAGCTTCTGTGACAGGCTTACTGGCAGGCAATACTCAGACCCAGGAAAAGCCATAAGCTGACCCCACCCAGGGAGGGCCTACACCTAAGAGGAAGTACCTGACATCCCAGACATTCCAATCATTAGATAAGGTGGCCAGATGTCCCTGAGTCTAGCACACACCTATTTTTGTTTTACAGATACCCCTAGACAAATGTCAGCCAATCAGGGTCCTGGACCCTGGAAATCCCAACCACTGCTATGATAAAAACTCTACCCCGCCCGGGCTCAGGACTCTCTGTTCTCACGGCTGCATCTGACAAAGAGAGAGACCAAGCCCTGGAGCTTGAAAATAAAGGCTCTTTGCTTTCACATATGGAATTCGGTCTCTGTGGTGGTCCTTTGGGGGGGGGGTCCCCGAGATCTGGGCATAACACCTTGAGGCTCTTGGGAGACTGGGTCCCCTTCTGGAAGGGTGGAAAAGGCTCCGTATTTTATTTCGCTCTTTTGGTGTCACCTTAGAGATTACACACGCCTCCTTCATCATCCCACTCACAGCCACAGCCTCAAATTCAAGCTCAAGAGGTGTCCTTCAATCAAGCTGGACTTTATCACAGAGCAGAGCGGTCACAACCCCAGCCTGGGTGTCTGTGAGGCGAGGGGTCCTGTGGCAGAGTGCTGGAGCTTGGAGACAGCTCAGTGCTGAGTAACACAGGGGACCGCAGAAGGCAAGAAAAGCCATTCTAACAAGCTTCCCATCTCACTGCCACCACACACGGCCTCCTGAAGCAAGGGATGTTTTCAGTGTGTGTGTGTGGGGGGGGGGGGATGGACTCACAAAGGGGGAGGGGCACAGACCCTGCCGATCTGTTAACCCGAGGTGACTTAAAGAGGGCAATGGCGCACGCCTTTAATCCCAGCACTCGGGAGGCAGAGCCAGGTGGATCTCTGTGAGTTCGAGGCCAGCCTGGTCTACAGAGCGAGATCCAGGAAAGGCGCAAAGCTTCACAGAGAAACCCTGTCTCGAAAAACCAAAAAAAAAAAAGAGGGCAATTACCATGGGTTAAACTGTTTGTTTTGAGGATTAAGAGTCCTGGGTTTGAGCTCAGGTTAGAAAACCTGAATCCTGTGTGACCTTGAAAGGTGACTGCAGCTCTCTCATCCTCAACTTCCTTGTTTGCAAAATGGAGATAAAAGGCCATAAATAAAGTAATCCGTGTGAAGCACCCTCCACATTTCGAAACAGACACCGAATAAGCCCTGGGTTTACGTTAGCGATCATTCTTATCTACAGCAGTTTTCCTGTTTAATTTTCATACCTCCTTTTTAAAGCAAGGGACAAGAGGAACTCAGTTATTTGCTCAAATCTATTTACATTCACACTTGATAATCTCCTTCCAAGAATCCCATCGCTGTTCTGAACTCTGGGGATACCACAGCAAATAAAATCACAACAACCTCTGCTCTCAGGGCTGGAGAGATGGTTCAGAGGGTTAACAGCAAGTGTTCTTATAAAGGACCTGTGTGTGGTTCCCAGCACCCACCTCTGGCGGCAGCTCACAACTCCTGTAAAGCTCCAGGGGATCTGATAACCTTTTTCTAGCCACCATGGACATTGCATGGACATGCATGTACACATAACTAAAAGTAAAAATAAAACACTTTAAAAAAAATAAACAAACCCGGGCCGCAGCAGGGCAGGGGCAGCGGTGGGGTGGGGGAGGGGTGGGGAGATGGCTCAGCAATTAAGAGCACTGACTGCTTTTCCAAAGTACTGGGATTCAATTCCCAGCACCCACACGGCAGCTGTCTGTAACTCCAGTTCCAGGGGATCCAACACACCCTTATACAGACATTACATGTAGGCAAAACACCAATGTATATGAAATAAAAATAAATAAATCACTGGGCGTTGGTGGCACACGCCTTTGATCCCAGCACTAGG